TGTTTCATACTTTCTTACAGCTCATACGTGGTATGAGCTTAGAGTCCACAAAGTTTCGGACCTTTGTCGTCGTTACAGGGTGTCCAATAAACTTTTGTAAGCGAAAAAACGGTCGAAATTGAGCGGAAATTGAATTTTTGGATTTTAACTACCATTGAAGGCTGCTCAAAAAGTTCATCATACGTTCAAAAACTGTGAAAGGAGAAGAATCGTTTTGGGCCTTTCCCGGCTCCACCTGAATTCTGTTGAATGTTTCATATTTTCAATGTACTAGTCCTAGATAGACTCTATGCAAAATATTTTACCGAACGGAGCCCATGCAAAGGTGCAACAACGCCTCAATTCCAAAATCCTGGCATCGAAAAATGTTTATTTTCGTTGACTTTTTCGACTGTTATCACTCTTCCAGCAGATGATTCGTACGTATTTTTTTGCGTACTCTCCGTTTCTAGCCTTTAGATTGGCCTCCGATAAATTTTAATGGGCCTTACGGTCCATTGTTGCCATTTTAGGCCCATTTTTAGGGTTTTCATCAATTTTACACACGAAGAACTTAATTTAAACTAAAAACCTTATACGTTTTTGAAAAGAACGCAAAAGTAATAAAAAGTGTTCGGTGAAACTTTTCTCAACGTTGCCAAATTTGCGAGATAAATCGTTCCAAAGAGCCAAAAATGGCCAAAATTTGATACATTGCCACGCTTAAGGTTCGAGAAAGTGAAGTACAACCTTTATATTAACGTACGTAACAGCTCTCAACCATATATACAACATATCAAAAAAGTATAGTTGTACCTGGATTCCCACGATGTGAAAATTGACCGGGATGTCGGATTTTAGCGGCCTTTTTTTACTTGAAGGTAGCTCTTTCGAATGTTTTTCGACCTTAGTCACACTCCATTTCTGAGTAACATATGTATTTTTCTACGTACTTTTCATATCTAGCCATAAAAATGGCTTTCTGTGAATTTAAAAAGGCCTAACTGTCAATTGTTGTCAATTTTTACTAATTTTTAGGGATTTTACAAAGTTTACATGTGTAAAACTTAATTTTATCTAAAAACCGTGTACATTTTCGGAAAGAACTTAAAAAAAATAAATGCACGATGTTCTTTGCCACTTGCCCCTACGTTGCCAAATTTTCGAGAAAAATCGTCCTTAAGTGCCAAAAATGCCACAAATTGGATTAATCATCACGTCGAAGATTCTAGGATATGAATTCTGACTTTCCTAAGGATTATGGGACACTGTGCCCACGCAGTTTCTATTGTTTTGGTATTTGGCCTATAGCAGGCATCTTGTAAACCAAGGGCTATCTCGAGGTTACAGGAATATACCGGTGAGATGGAGTGAAGGATGAGATGGAAGCATCTTGAGGGTCTGTTGCGTCACGTTCATCTGAGCCATTACGTGTTTGGTGAGACACATTGCAATTTTCCAAATTGGATACGTTATTTGTAGTGAAAAAAAAAACTTAAAATACACATCCTAGAATCTTTGACGTGATGATTAATCCAATTTGTGGCATTTTTGGCACTTAAGGACGATTTTTCTCGAAAATTTGGCAACGTAGGGGCAAGTGGCAAAGAACATCGTGCATTTATTTTTTTTAAGTTCTTTCCGAAAATGTACACGGTTTTTAGATAAAATTAAGTTTTACACATGTAAACTTTGTAAAATCCCTAAAAATTAGTAAAAATTGACAACAATTGACAGTTAGGCCTTTTTAAATTCACAGAAAGCCATTTTTATGGCTAGATATGAAAAGTACGTAGTAAAATACATATGTTACTCAGAAATGGAGTGTGACTAAGGTCGAAAAACATTCGAAAGAGCTACCTTCAAGTAAAAAAAGGCCGCTAAAATCCGACATCCCGGTCAATTTTCACATCGTGGGAATCCAGGTACAACTATACTTTTTTGATATGTTGTATATATGGTTGAGAGCTGTTACGTACGTTAATATAAAGGTTGTACTTCACTTTCTCGAACCTTAAGCGTGGCAATGTATCAAATTTTGGCCATTTTTGGCTCTTTGGAACGATTTATCTCGCAAATTTGGCAACGTTGAGAAAAGTTTCACCGAACACTTTTTATTACTTTTGCGTTCTTTTCAAAAACGTATAAGGTTTTTAGTTTAAATTAAGTTCTTCGTGTGTAAAATTGATGAAAACCCTAAAAATGGGCCTAAAATGGCAACAATGGACCGTAAGGCCCGTTAAAATTTATCGGAGGCCAATCTAAAGGCTAGAAACGGAGAGTACGCAAAAAAATACGTACGAATCATCTGCTGGAAGAGTGATAACAGTCGAAAAAGTCAACGAAAATAAATATTTTTCGATGCCAGGATTTTGGAATTGAGGCGTTGTTGCACCTTTGCATGGGCTCCGTTCGGTAAAATATTTTGCATAGAGTCTATCTAGGACTAGTACATTGAAAATATGAAACATTCAACAGAATTCAGGTGGAGCCGGGAAAGGCCCAAAACGATTCTTCTCCTTTCACAGTTTTTGAACGTATGATGAACTTTTTGAGCAGCCTTCAATGGTAGTAAAAATCCAAAAATTCAATTTCCGCTCAATTTCAACCGTTTTTTCGTTTACAAAAGTTTATTGGACACCCTGTAACGACGACAAAGGTCCGAAACTTTGTGGACTGTAAGCTCATACCGTCTTTATGGAATAAAAAATTTTACTTGGTTCCTACGTCTTACATTCTTCAAAATCAGCGAACATTGTAACGCAATGTCTAAAGGTAGTAGCACGGAATATATTGGAATTTGGAGTGTAGCCGAGTGCTAGAAATAATGTAAAATTTCTTTAAAAAACTTGTATTTCATTAACAAATTTAGACCGAAGCTTTTCGAAGCAAACGCTTCATCGTCAGGGTCTCAAAGGCCATAATAAAACATGGTAACAAATTTCATTGATGGTAACAATTGATATCAAGCTATTAGATCAAATCACTCTTAAGTAATAATCAAAACATTGTCAATGTATGCTTAGTACCTGTTTCTCATCAGAGATGGCAGCACATTTTATTCACAGGGGATTAGTTGCCAGATCTACCTCTTTTTGTACATTTATTAATTCTTCCTCTCTTTTTCCGCCTTAATTATTTCATATTTTCTAGGACGCTTAGCATTTTTCTGTCCCTGTTTTTGTGTAGAATTTTAATTTCTTTCATCTGATGATTTTCTGCTTTGATGTGCTTAAATACGTTCGAGGATGGAAGTGTCATGTGTTCATTAACTCTGCAGTTGATTGAGCGCTAAATCCGATATATATATATTTTCTTGCATGAATTACAATCTAAACGGTAAACGCCAGTTACATTCTTACTATTACTTACCAATGTTGCCTTCACCTTCTTTGATTTTGTCGATGACCTTCCTCATATTGTCTAGTATGCTGTTATTAGTCTTAAAAGCTGTTCTGTACTCAGTTTCTTTTAAACAATTGCTAATTTTTGAGCTAACAGGGCCAAAATAATCAATATTTACATATTTGTCATTATATGCTTGGATTTTTTAGCCCCATTGCTTTTTGCATCGGAGCACTGTTTTTTATATCTCCTTAAAATTTTGTTGACAATATATTTAGGGAATCCATTAATTTTAGCAATGCTCTGGATAATTCCGATTTCCTCTTGTCTATGTTTGTGGCTAAGTGGAATGGAAAACACTCTATGTGCCATTGCATGAATTGCAGCGTGTTTATGGCTGTTAGGGTTATTTGAATGGAAGGGAATTATACTATTAGTGGTTGTAGGCTTACAGAATATTTTGAATTGGATGAGGTTATCCTTGTCGACAATTACAGTAAGATCTAAAAAATTAATTTGACGGACGGGCGGACGGGCGGACGGACGGACGGACGGACGGACGGACGGACGGACGGACGGATGAATGGATTTAGACCGAAGCTTTTCGAAGCAAACGCTTCATCGTCAGGGTCACTAATCCTGAGGTTTACTGGAGGCTTGCAGGTTACTGATCCTGAGTAAATTTGATAAAACTCTGTAGATTGGTATTAAACTCTGTAGACATAATAACCCTGATAAAATAGACAGTAGTATCTTTGTCTTCGTAAAATACCCAGCAACTGTGTCCCTTAAAAAAGTAGCATTTCACCGTACGGGAAAATATTACATTGACGCCATTTCAGTTCGCTTTCAATTTCAAGGTAGGCAACCCGAGTTTCCAAGTGGTTGAATAGCGGTATCGTCAAGTGGTACGCTCACTCTGTACACTCACAGAGATAAGATCTTTTAACGAAATGGGAGATGTGAGAGTTGGTGTTACTTACCCTTAAATTTAGTAATCTCGACTACAGTAAAAGCTCGTTAAGACGAAATACGGTTAAGACGAAAACCCGCTTAAGACGAAATTTTTTTCGGTCCCTTGACACTTCCATAAGAGTCAATGTAAAAAAAAATACAGATAAGACGAAATTTCTAAATTTTGACCTGTAACCAAAGCCGGTTAAGAGGAAGAAAAATTTCCGTTTTTTCCCTTAAATTGGGTAAAAACGACAAAAAAGAGCCAATTCTTAGGGAAAATAGACTTAGTTTTACGTACCTTGAGAGAAGAAGAGTAGGTTGAGAGTAGATCGTGGGTATCCTCTGTTTTGCTGGATGACTGAGATGCAATCGGCAGTTGACGATAAACCGATTTGCGTATTTTAAAAAAATTCAAAATTTGGATTTCGTATTGTATTAAATTTAAAAATATAAAACTGATAGATGATAATCTTTCAAAAAGTCATTCACTTAAAAACTCTTCACCTGGCCTTTGATCTTGTTTATCTAAAAGATGATTTCAGGATGACTGAGAACAGCGCGGATACCAGCGCAACTTTCAAGAGCAGTTGCCTCGTATGCCGAAAAATTTCGTTTTAAGCGGAAAACTGTTAAGACGAAAAGCCGCTTATGACAAAATTTTTGTGAAAAGAAGACGAGTCGAGAGAAGTTGGAAGCGAAAAAGAGAAGTGTAAGGGTACCTTCATATAATTGTGAACTCTGTACATGTGGTTATGCTGTTTGACTGGATGCAGGGTGATGGCGCGGTGCACCTCTTTCCGTTTCAAGTTCCCCGTGAACGCTTCTTTCCCGCTCGAGTTGTGATATAGAATCGTTTGCATCTGAAATATCAACAAACAAATTAAGTAGCCTCTTTCCTCGTGCTAGAGTATTTATTCAATCGTTTGCATCTGAAATATCAACAAACAAATTAAATAACCACTTTCCTCGTGCTAGGGTATTTATTCAATCGTTTGCATCTGAAATATCAACACACAAATCCTTGCCTCTCGGCATGCGGGATATTTTCCGATACACGGGTACCCGGCCGTCCGATGCAAACAAAAATGTTAGGAATTAGTAATTCCTAATTACCGATAATTCCGGTAATTCCGAATCACCTATCCACACCGTCATTTTGGATCGAACATTTGTCGAAAAAGTGACCGAAGCTCAGCGCACACCGGGCTCGGAACTCGTCGAGCAGAACATGGCGCCTGCTCTTCCATTTTCATTATGACTCTATATATGTACTCTACGCTTCATTTCCACGTGAACCCTGTTAAGCGCGCCATGCACGTGGTCCGCTTTATTGCTGTTACCGAGAAATCCATTTGAAATTCCCGCTATTTTTCATTGGCGGGAATTTCAAATTTTGCGGTAAATTGAACTGAGCGGGAAATCAAGGATCTTGGTCTGTTAGTAGGGTCTAGGGTAAGGTAATAAGTGAATCGAAATTGTGCTCCTTTACTACAGACTATGCAAAAGTAACGAAACGCTCCATTTCATTCATTCCGTTTCGTTTCAGTCTTGGCCTGAAGTTGGAAATAAATGGCGGTTTTCTTATTTGATTTTTATTGGTCCAATCGTTTCCGGCCAGAGGAAGATTGGACAAATGAGAGTCGGGTATGAAAATGTTTTCATTTTTTTTGGTCGCTCTTTTGTCGAAGCGGGCCTAAGAGAGGGCGAAGCACCCCCTGGGGGTTGGGCCCCCAGGGGCGCGGGTAGCGGCCAGGGGGCATAGCCTCCTATGTCTTTGATCAAAAGTTGCAGAATTCCAGCAGCCATCACTTCTGTCATTGATCACCGATGTGCCGCGATTCCAGTGTAGATAGAGGTTAGGAGCCGGTGGTAAAAAACCGAAATACATGGCTTCTTATGGGAACTGCCGGGTTCTCCGTTGTTTATTTAGTAATGAGTTCGTGAAAATTAGGAAAAGTTACAGGAGGTACAGGAATTTAAGTGAAGTTTCTTCGAATGGTATTTTGTATATAAATTAGTATTTCTATCGAGTGCGCGGGATTTTTTCCGAAAAATCGTTGCTCATTACCTATGTGTTCACCCAACAGTTGATCCCTCGTTCTCGTTCCTTTTGGATAGAAAGTGTTGCTTTATCAATTATTATTTTGTTCGCCTGACCTTAACTGAGTAATATCAACGTAAGCATTTAAATACCTAGTGAATGTCTTATCGTCTTTGTAGTAGCCCGTATATCGGTAGGTCAATCGATACAGTTTCCATCGAAATGTGCCTCAAGTTCTCACTAAGCTCCCGCTCCGACCTAATTTTTGCTCAGCAACGCATGATCACTGTCCATTATGCACTGATGTGGAAACAACAGATGAGTGAGTAGAATTTTATGAAATAGAGAGGAGGGTTCAATCGATTGTGATCTTCCAGACATCATTATCTTTTTATCTTGTCTTAGGATACAGTGAACATGCGCACTTTGAAGCACCCATCATTTTGGAGCCCTTTTCAGATCGGTGAAAAATTCTCCCACATGCTGAAGGACATCTGCATGCTTTTCTTGAATTCAGATTGTGTGCCATTAATCTTGTATTAATGTGAGCTGTAAAGCAATCTGTCTCTAGGAACTCCTGTTGTTAGTCTCGTTAAACTCTCCTGAGATGGATGATGCATTTTTCGTGGACACCTTAGACGCCTTCAGGTAACTTAAACAATTAAACATCCCTGCTGAACAGTTTCCTTTCCTCGAAGGAGTGCACCTGAAAGGCTTCCAGCGCAGAAGACAACGCGATTGCTCAGTTTTCTTCTCAAAACTAAAGTGCTTCATCTTGTTAAAAGGAGGAGTTGCGTTTTGGGCCTTTTCCGGCCCCACCTGGATTTTGCTAAATGTTTCATATTTTCAAAGTACTAGTCTTAGGTAGACTCTGTGCCAAATATTAGACCGAACGGAGCCCATGCAAAGGTGCAACAACGCCTCAATTCCAAAATCCTGGCATCGAAAAATATTTATTTTCGTTGACTTTTTCGACTGTTATCACTCTTCCAGCAGATGATTCGTACGTATTTTTTTGCGTACTCTCCGTTTCTAGCCTTTAGATTGGCCTCCGATAAATTTTAAGGGGCCTTATGGCCCATTGTTGCCATTTTTGGCCCATTTTTAGGGGTTTTTTCCATTTAAAACATTCAAAACTCAATTTAATCCAAAAACTGTGTATATTTTTGAAAAGTACGTAAAAAAATGAATAAAAAATGTTCAGTAAAATTTTTTCCTATGTTGCCAAATTTCCGAGAAAATTGGTCCCAAAGTGTCAAAAACGGCAAAAAATCGATAAATCGCCGCGTCTAAGGTTCAAGAAAGTGGAGTACATTTTTCATACTGTACCAGATAACAGCTCTTATCCATCCATACAACATACTAAAATATCATAGTTGTACCTGGATTCCCACGATGTGAAAATTGACCGAGATGTCGATTTTAGCGGCCTTTTTATACTTGAAGGCAGCTCTTTTGAATGTTCTTCGACCTTAGTCACCCTCTATGGGTGTGTACTATATGTATTTTTCTACGTACTTTTCATATCTGGCCATAAAAATGGCTTTCTGTGAATTTTAAAAGGCCTAACGGTCCATTGTTGCCAATTTTCACCAATTTTTAGGGGTTTTTTCAAGTTTACGTGTGTGAAACTTAATTTAATCTACAAACCGTGTACAATTTCGGAAAGAACGTAAAAAAATACATAGGAATGTGATTTGTACCTTTTCCCTACGTTGCCAAATTTTCGAGAAAAATCGTCCTGAAGCGTCAAAAATGCAAAAAAATTGGATTAATCATCACGTCGGAGGTTTAAGGAAGTGAATTTCAAGTTATTTTTCACTACAAATAACGTATCGAAAATGGAAAATTGCAATGCATCTCAAGGAACATGTAATGGCGTAGATGAACGTGACAAAACGGGCCCTCAAGGTGCTTTTATTTTATCCTTCACTCCAGTTCACCTCTTTATTCCTGTAACCTCGAGATAATCCTTGGCTCTCAAGATGCTTGCTACAGGCCAAATATACCGAAGAACAGAAAATGCGTGGAGAAAGTGTCCCACGATCCACATGAATGTCATAATTCACTTCCTGGAACCTCCGACGTGATGATTAATCCAATTTTTTGCATTTTTGACGCTTCAGGACGATTTTTCTCGAAAATTTGGCAACGTAGGGAAAAGGTACAAATCACATTCCTATGTATTTTTTTACGTTCTTTCCGAAATTGTACACGGTTTGTAGATTAAATTAAGTTTCACACACGTAAACTTGAAAAAACCCCTAAAAATTGGTGAAAATTGGCAACAATGGACCGTTAGGCCTTTTAAAATTCACAGAAAGCCATTTTTATGGCCAGATATGAAAAGTACGTAGAAAAATACATATAGTACACACCCATAGAGGGTGACTAAGGTCGAAGAACATTCAAAAGAGCTGCCTTCAAGTATAAAAAGGCCGCTAAAATCGACATCTCGGTCAATTTTCACATCGTGGGAATCCAGGTACAACTATGATATTTTAGTATGTTGTATGGATGGATAAGAGCTGTTATCTGGTACAGTATGAAAAATGTACTCCACTTTCTTGAACCTTAGACGCGGCGATTTATCGATTTTTTGCCGTTTTTGACACTTTGGGACCAATTTTCTCGGAAATTTGGCAACATAGGAAAAAATTTTACTGAACATTTTTTATTCATTTTTTTACGTACTTTTCAAAAATATACACAGTTTTTGGATTAAATTGAGTTTTGAATGTTTTAAATGGAAAAAACCCCTAAAAATGGGCCAAAAATGGCAACAATGGGCCATAAGGCCCCTTAAAATTTATCGGAGGCCTTTAAAAAGGCCAGAAACGAAAAGTACGCAAAAAAATACATTAGAATCATCTGCTGGAAGAGTGATAACAGTCGAAAAAGTCGACGAAAATAATTGTTTTTCGATTCCAGGATTTTGGGTTTGAGGCGCTGCTGCGCCCTTGCATGGGCTCCGCTCGGTCTAATATTTGGCACAGAGTCTACCTAAGACTAGTACTTTGAAAATATGAAACATTTAGCAAAATCCAGGTGGGGCCGGAAAAGGCCCAAAACGCAACTCCTCCTTTAATATGATGGTGTGCTTGATTTTAAAAAAAATGTACTATCAAATGATTTCCTCTTTGGAGCTGAAATGTGTGAAAATAAATACCCATTAATTTTTCATTCAATCATCATCATAAATCAACAACGTTTCTCCTTAAAGGCTCTGTTAAACGTTTCCAACTTGTGGCAATGGCCCATCCCAGGAAGAAAGGGGGAAACGTTTCATATTTCCGTTCAAAGCAAAACATTTTATTTACCTCTGCATTCAGTGTCCATAAACACTATGTTAGGAGGGCTTCATTGTGCATTCAAAAATAATTTCATCTTACCATAAATAGCATACTTAGTGGTGAATTATACGACTGTAAGCGAATTATTGTCATAGTTTCGGCCAACCGTAATCGTGAGTGCATTGAATACTTAATAGAGTGTAGACTCAAATTTTTATCACACCTATCACTGCACTATCTTTCTTTTTCTGAGAGAAAAATGTAAAAAATAGGAATTGAAAATTTGGGAAAAAAGGCGCTAAATTTTGACTTTAAAAGATAACATAATTTGATTTTTACCTTAAAATACTCAGACAGCTCTACATTACCTTCATTTAGACAAAATTCACCTCCAAAAGTCGCACCAGCAAGACACTCCGGCATAATTTTTCCATGGACTTAACGTTGTGAGTAAAGGTATTACAAATCTAAAATATACCATTGCTCTTTGCCTCTACCAAATATTTTTAGCAGAATAATGTTTCAT